TTTCACTACAATTCACCGATCTCATCAAACCAATAGCACTGGCTGGTGTTTCGCCACCCACAGGTGCATATGCCACAATTTCCGGCTGGGGGCGTACACGTGAGGGTGGTCCACTCTCTGAACTACTAATGTACAACCGATACGTGAGAACACTAAGCAATGATGACTGCGCTAGGGCGATCGGTTACAAAAGTGCCGGAATCTTATGCCTTGCTAAGTCGAGAGGAAATGGGATTTGTGGAGGAGACCAAGGTGGTCCAGCTGTATACAATGGTGTATTGATTGGCATCGCAAGTTATCACAAACTTGCTTGTGGTACGGATGAACCGGATGGCTACATAAGGATTTCAACTTACAGAAAGTGGTTGATTGATGTTTCTACTGCTGATTCCGGAGTAGTATAAGAACGTTTTCGTTCGCTATTAGACAAAATTTAAAACCTGTACAAATTTAATATTGGTGAAGGTTATAAATTCAATGGAAATAAATTAGCCATTATTATGATAACACAACATATTTGGCTAGATAATTTAAGGTTGTAATTTTGAAAGATTTTGATTGTGACGACAAAAATGAATCGGCGTAACTTATGTTTTCATACAAATGGAGAGACATACAGTTTAATTCCGTCTCCGAATGGCAGAGGTTTCTTGCGAGAAGCCTTCTTCAGTCTGCCAAGCGGCCATCCCTATTAGGAAAATTGTTTTAATAAGTTTCTCAGGCCAGGAGTGAACCTTTGTTTTGTTGCGTTGTAGAGGTGATAAAACTTCTTCTTGCCATGTCCCTACTGCAACGAATTGTTCGTTGGTTTTGGAGTCCTTTGGCACTGCGCTTATTATACACTCACTCTAAGTCTCGCTATATGTACAGTGGCGGTCAAAAGTGGATGAATGGTGTTTCGTTTTTAATATTTACAATGTTTTTCAAGCTAAAATTTGTTTGATACTTTTTTATAAAACTATGGTTCATACTGTAACAAAAACCTTATAAATCACACTTTCACCTTTATACAGAATTCGGAAAAATTCCACAAATTTGTATCTAAATTTTATAAGTGCAGGTTTTTACCGGCTAATAATTTTGCACTTTTTTTCATATAAAGATGAATTTCTTGTGGAAGAATATGCGCAGTACCGTTTGCGAAAAAAAGTAAAAAAATGTTTTCCTAAATTTCACTATTTATTTATAAGAAAAAAGCCGCAAAAGACATCAGCAAAAAAAAATATAAAAAATCAATGCGATTTGTCAGCCGCTCAAAACTTGCACTTATTTAATACAACTTTTATAAGCCTGTCAACTGCATAGCTCGAGATTTAGATACAAATTTGTGGAATCTTATTTGATTTTATTGATTTGATTTATATGATTTATATGATATGTTAAAGCATGAACCATATCGAGAGCCCTAACCGACAAAATAACGTAAGCGACATTTTTTTCAAAATTTTCTTTTTGATGCAGAAATATTCCTAGAGCACCTAGATGCATTTCTGCATCAAAAAGAAAATTTTGAAAAAAATGTCGCGTACGTTATTTTGGCGGTCAAGGCTCGATATTTTTATAAAATATTATCAAAAAAATTTTCGCTTGAAAAAATTTTAAATATTAAAAACGGAAAAAAAACCATTCATCCACTTTTGACCGCCACTGTATGTACTAAAAGCCGAGCTTTTGATCTAATGTTGTTCTTTTATGTATCTCTTATGTTCAGAAAGATAAATAAAGAGTATTCTCTGTGAAAAACTACCCATCCAGTGTATACAATTTCGTTCTACTTGCGTATATAATTGAGACACCACACCACTCTACAATTTAAATGTAGTTTGCTTCAACGACGCGTCAAGTTCAAGGGATTCACTATATGGTGGAAAGCTAAAAATGACTTCAGAAATGCTGGCATATGCAAAACGTCAGGAAAAACTTCTCCCTCCAAGGCAAGCATCTGGGAGTCATTCTCTACTACTAAATTGCCTTCACCGGTTTCGTTGAGTGTACATATGAAATTTCTGCGTACCAAATTGCGTGTAATTTATTTCAATAAATCTCAACATACTTAAACTCACCTAAAAACGTAGAAGATTTTAAAAATTTTTTTAGTCCTTTTCAAAATATTTTTAAACAAAAATTTTATAAAACAACTTCCTTGTGATATATTTTTAATCATCTTATCCCTTTAAAACAGGCGGCAACCCTCCTATAAGTAGTTTAGAAACGGAGGCTTTTCAAAACCATTTCGATCGATACCCATATTGTAATAATGCATTGAAATTATTAAATCAATTGAATTTAACTAACTAAACAGGTGGCAACCTTCTTAAACATCTTTCGACTGAAATCCATTGAGTTGAGTTTGATTTTTCAAACTGGCGGTAACCCATGTAGCTTAGAAATAAGGCATTTTCAAGCTCCTTTCTCACAATACCTCCATTATAACAACTCACTGACTAAAAAATTTTATTTTATTTTAGGTTTGCCGACTACCCTATTCAAATACCTCAGAAAATTCGAAGTACATTTTTAAATTAAGTTCTAAACACTCTTTCGTTTAACACTTTACCTTGTATATGATTTCGTTGAATTCGCTTTTTCAAACAGGTGGCAAAGCTCATAAAATTATTTTCAAACTACGACCTTACTTACCTCTTTCTGCACCTGTAATTCAAGTAAAATTTAATTGTTTAAGTAGGTGGAAAGCGTCCTACGTTCAGTTTAGAAAAAAGTCTTTTCAAAGCCATTTCGATTGACTGCCAGGGAATGAATCACAGCTCATAATTACTTATATGTTATTCACAGCTTAGCAAAAGCTCTAGGCCTTTCAGCTGCAGACCATTTAAAATAAGCAATTTCTAGATGTGGAATTTCAGGAGTTGTCCCTCTGCAAGCAAGTAGATGTGACTTGATGGCAATCATCTTCCACCAAACCAAGTAATGAGCCCTTTTCCTTTTCCGCTTTTCGCCGATCCATTTCGATTAAAATGTTTAGTCGTGAACAACAGCTAAAAATTTCGCTTCTTTGGATCTGAGATTTTTACCACCCCGTAATGGACTTGTAAAACTCTCCCTTGATGAACTTTGATATTTCGGAATTGGAAGGATTCACACACATATCGTTCTTTCCTTTGCACTTTAATAAATCGTTAAATACATATTGCAGAATTTTTTTCCAAGTGCGAAATGCCCAATAGCCGGAATAAGCAGATCGTCTCCGTATGCACAGAGCCGTAAATTCTTACCTGAAACCACGCTCCACGTGGCTATTTTTCTTATATTGTTTTACCATTGCACAAGGAACCATTGATGTTTCCTTACTCAGCATGTTACCGACCCTTCGGATAGTCAACAAACCAGTACAATAACCACTGTATCGGAATGAAATGGAATTAATACATACTTATGTATATATTTTTAAAAGGTTCCTCCACATCTAGAAAATACCACAGCGAGTTTGATATGAAAAGCTACCTCGCCAACTTTTCATTTTCGGTAAATATCTGCGGCATGGTTTAAATTTTCGATACTGAGAGAGCGTGTGATTTGTAGATCCTTTAGACTCTTCTTCCTCTAATGGAGGAACTATAGGTGACTATATAATCGATTAAAAAATTTTCCTCTTTAAGGCATGAAGACCATTCGTACACCCTCCACAGCTTTGGTGTACAGCTAAAAAAATACCTAATACATTTTCGTTAGCCAGAGAATGACTTCAGGGGTACTTTCGTAGACTATCTTGCCTATGTGTGAAAGGTTTACTTCCTTTAGCGCTTCAGAGTTGAATATAGGTGAATATTAATATTATTACTAGGTAAATACTTGCCCTGCGACCTTTATAGGTATCATTTCAAAGCTTCTGGTTGGAAACGTTGGGCGTTCTCCAAGGTGTATGAGTCTAAGGCTTACAACTACATAATATATACCTAGGAGTTTCTTCCGCCATCCTACACTGAGGGAAAAAAATATTAAAATCAAATAGAAACGTAATTGATCTTACTATAACGGTCAACGAAAGTACTGTATATTGATAAATATTCAATTCAATTACGCGCATATTAAAATGACCGCGTTCGTACTGAAAAAGCATCCATGAATTATTGAATAATCAAGACAAAAACTAAAAAAAAAAATTTAATTTGCATGTTATGTTGCCTGCAGTGGAATTCGAACCCGATCAACTCCGGATATCAACAACTTGTGGCAAGCATCTTTGTGCACTCAGCCACACCCAGGCATATAAATTTGCTTTTAAATGTTGAATATCCATCAACACCACAGCACGCTAGTAAACATGTATGTACTATGTATGTATGTTTAATTGTGTTGTCACCGCTCTCAGAGCGGCGCTCTGCATGCTTGGGGTGCCTATGCAGACTTAGATATACATACATACTCAGAAGTGAACAGTAAAATACGTGCGTAATAAATTTTGTATGAAAATATTATTTTTAAATACGAACATTTTTAAACGATAATCAAATATAAAGTATTAATTTTTACTATGCACTATTTCCCTCAGTGTATAGTATAGTAAGATAATATCTCAACTTGCTCTGAGAAAAGCAGTCAGTTTTGTTTTTGTAGCGGCACTTCTAAACCCAGCCTAAATCCGCTGGTGTATCAATCGCATTCGTGAAGCTCAAATCACAATAAGCCCAGGAAACATGGTATTTAGATTAGTGGCTTTAAAATATCAAGTTAAAAAGTGATTAGTGTCATTAGGAGAACCTTCACCAGTCAGACATTTGTTGTGTATGTCGTATAAGTATGAGTTCAGTCCGCTAAAGTAGCCAGACCTCAGTTATGCCAGAGTTAGGCGGGTCTCTGGCAGCTGCAGCGCAGGACTTTCCTACTCAAATTAGGCGATTCCCGTGAAAGTGTTATGAACCTCTCACATTGCCTTATTCGATGGTGTATATGTAGTTAGACACCCGAAAGTCATACCACTGAAGAGGTATGTGGGCCCTACCTTTGCAAGATGATCGGTTATTTTGTTGCCATCAAACTTTTTATGACCTGAAGCCTATCACAAGGTATATGTTTCCCTAATTTGTTTAAAGGATTTGTGTAGCTATCCAGAAGCCGCGAAGTGCTTTTGTATAAATAAGTCGCGGCTCTTAATGTCGCTAAACTGTCCGAAATAGTATTTATTTAGGTCCCAATATTACTACCGCTAAGACAAAAAGCGGACGCAGATTTCAGTTGTAAAAGTTTCCACCTGGAGTGGGGTTGGAAATTCGCACACACTACATACTTTGAATCCCAAATCCGCGCTTTGAAGAATTCCAGCGAAAGAACAACACCGATTATCAATTTGACAATGGGCTCATTAAATAATGATTTTAAGACCCCCAGATGGTGCATTAAAGTCTCCATTCTTCCTTCTGTATATATTCGGAAATTTCGTGTCATATATTGAATGGTTATTGTTTGATGTTTTCATTGTATCGATGCACCGAATGTATGATATGTGATTAAATTTAAACATTTGAAAACACATTTGTATGTCTGGCTGTAGCTAAA